TTGCTTGCTTTGACCAGTGCGGGCCTCGATGGCAACCACTCGTCCGTCTGGGGCAGGTTCCTGAGGCTCCCAAGAGCGAAGAGAGTGAGCATAGCTGCATGGCCCTCCAAACTTCAGCCTGTAGAGGAGCCATCTTCAAGGGTCCATTTTCATGGTCTTTGTCGTGACATTCAGCAAGTTGGCAGCCAGGCCGCAGGCCGCGAGGACCTCTTTCGTTGACCCGACCCACCGGCAGAGGGGACTCACCCGATGTGAGGTTTGAAGGGCTGCTGGAGCTGGCCAAACCCGCTTTGGAGGTGCCACACCGTTCTGACCTACGGGAATCTCTCCAAGCAACCATCACCAACAACTCAGAAAGTCATTGTATGTTACGTAGTTCACAAGACGTTTGATTGATAGACATCCCAACGATCATTTGTGATGGCCGCGCTGCATAGCTAGTTGCTTTGCATTCGACACACACACACACATAGGCATTGAATTGACTCCAAGAAGCCTCTGGGTCAATGCTGATTTCTGCGAATGTGGTTTGTCTCTTCAAACCGGCTTAAGTCTTTATTTGGCCTCTGACGGTGTTGAAGCTGAGTGGCATGTTTGGGCAATGGTGTGAATACCCCGGGTCGAATCCGACCAGCAGGGTCGAATCCTGGTAATTACTCCTTGTAGGTCGCTCGGTGCCACAACAATCCAAGTGCTACAAATGCTACAAGCCATAAATGTCACCAACATATTCTTTTGGCCGTTGTCGTCGTCCCATTTAATCCATCCTCCAACTACAGCCATGGTGAATCGAATCAGACTACTCCGCCGTTTCTCGGTCTCCGATCGGTCGCTTCGGATCGGGTGAACCGTCTCCACGTCAGCACTGAACGTCGCTGAACATGAAATAGACGACTGGTTTCGGTCAACCTACCGGAGTGAAACGGGCTCCGGGTTTTGACTCACAGTTGTATATACCTCCGCTTTTGCTTCTTCTTCATTTTATTTCACAGTTGTATATATATAATATATGCATATATATATAATATATATATACTATATAATTATATACAATATATATGTATATGCATGATCGACCAACATCAACAATAGATGTATCGACAGTTTTTCAGAGGGTGCTGGGTCGGCCCTGATAGGCACTCACGCCGCGCCGGCTCAAGAGCATCACCACCCCGAAGGTGAGTGGATTGAGTTGGGAAGTGAGGTCTTGGAGCTTGGAGCTTTGAAGATGTTCGTTTGAAGATTATGACATCACCCCAAGATGATTGTTTTTTTTGCTTGTTTGAGCCGAACCCAGAGTCCCCTCTTTAAGCAATGATTTTAAGCCAGAGAAAACTTGCACCCAAGTCGTGGTAATTTCGGGTGCCCAGCGTCACTTGACCAAGGATGGATAAGTTCTGGGACAAGACTCGTGGCAAATACTGTGGTATTCTCTATGTATGTCAGTGTGTTGGTAAAGGCCAGATTAGCTTGGAACAGATGCACTTGTCACCATGAGGTTTTCTCTATGGCGATGAACAGGTGTTGAGTCCGTTCTGTTTGCCATCAACCAATTGGCTTTGTAGTTTATATACTGTATTGCTTAAGACAAACGGTATGCTCGGTGAGATAGCCCAGGAATCGACAACACGCTTGCTTCACACCCAGGGGTTGTTCCATGCTGTTGTTTGATCATATAGTGGAGGATTTGTTTTCTTGTTGGGTCAGACCATTGAAGCCAGAGAACCCTACTATGAAGGATCCCTTCCTTTATGTGCCTGAAAGAGTGATCAGCACTGGGCGCTTACTGAACATCACTATTCTGTTGTAGACACGCTATGAGAAGGGAACAGGGGGTTGACCACGAGAGATATGTCACTCTTACATACAAGTTGCTCGAGCACCTTAAGCGAAGGGTGATGTAGGGTGATGTAGGGTTGACGCAGCAGACTCTGTAGTGAAACAAGAAGGGACCTATATAACAGACCATGGCGCTTTGCCTCGTTCATTCGCATGTTTGAAAGAGATGTGCAAGGGTGTTACTTGAGTGTTCCAAGTTCGCCTCTCTGCATGAGAACAGACTTTCAAAGCAGAAACAAACATAGGCCATAGGGCAACTTGGCTGGAGGTACCTGAAGTCATTGATGGGCAGCATGTTTGCGCGGTCCAGATAGCAAGTTAAACCCACTTTGGGGGTGAACTGCCTTCCCTTGGAACAACCAATCGAACTGGACCAACCTTTCGTTTCCGCCACGCGCTTTCTTGCCGGGTGGGGCACATGCAGGTCAATCCCGCTGTGGTTGTGCCTGCGACCGTAGCCCCTTGGAGCATTTGGGGCGACCATGGGCTAAGTGGTTGCTTGGGGATAAAGGCTCTGACGCTATACAGCTGTCAAGGGTCTGAAATGGATCCAACCTTTCACTATACCTCAAGAGTTTGTGCCAATCATTTGTTTGTTCCTGCGGTGCGTAGGTATGACGAAGTCCGGCTGAAGCGCCAAGATCCCGGCATGTTGGTCATGTTGTACAAAAGGACATAGTCTGTGGAGGGCCTTGGTTTTTTGGTGCATCATCTGAAAACCTCTTTCCCTGAAGGCCTTAGTCTGGTCGCACAGCGAACGCCTACCATGTGTGGATCCTTCAGACGGTCTAGGCGAAAGTCTCGGTTCGTTGGATGTCTCAGGGATCGTTTGAGACGGTCTCAGAGTGCAAGCTGCTTGTCTGGGCAGTTTGCTGCTTGTCTTGCCTTGATTGCTGCTTGTCTTGCCCAAGACTTGGGTGATCGGATGTGATCCGGTTTCGGTGATCGGTGAAGAAGGGTTTCGGAGAAGACCTTTCTTCATGACATGTGTAAAACGGAGTTGACTTTTCTCTCGGGTCCTCATGAGTCCTCATAATGATCACCAATTCCAATTCCACCATTTCTATGTGGGATGCGCCTCCAAGTCTGGTAGGTGCAATGGCAAGACAGGGGAAGACTTTCTAAAGTACACACTTCTTTGTTCATCCTGGATGTTTGTTTTCTGCTCGATTGAGTGCTTCCTCAGGTCTGCCGTGCCAAAGGTGCCCGGGTGCCCACCGTTCTGAGGAAGAGTTGGGAAGAGTTTCTGGCAGACATGTTTCGAGGTGTAATTCCGTTCAAAGGAACACAACTCAGAGGTGTGGCTTTGGCTAGGACTTTCTGTGGGTATACTTGCAATGAAAGGAACTGGGGGGGCGAAGGTCTTTTAACCTTGACACTCATGCGTGTTTCTTTTCGCAGGTTTTCAATGCTTTCACATCATTAGAGCTTAGTTCTGGTATTCTGTTTGTTGATGGATTGTTGCTTTTCGTGAGAGATCCTGAGATGCCTGACAAGACCAAGTGAAAGAAGAGCTAGAACCCCAGAGGTTTTTGCATGCTCAGGTGTCTTTCTTCTTTAGAACCCCCATGGGTCACAGCAGTACTCGATCGGCTTTCTCTGCTCCTTCACAGCAGTAGATGGCCATTTCCAGCCACAAACCCACTGCTGGATGTGCCAGGAATATCCCAATGCCAACTAGTAACTAGACGTTTGTTTCAGGCAGAACATTTTGAGGTGTTCTTACAAAAAGAAAGTTCTGCAGAGAGGAGTATCTTTGTCACCTAATTTTCAGGTTTGTGTACACTGCTCCAAACAAACAGTATTAGAACGGTTGAAGTAAAAACTATCCAACTGGTAGGAACCACTGTGGTGGCCTGGGACCTTGTGGCCCAGGATGGGGTTCCAGCAGGCTTGCTGTGTCGAGTGCGGGGCCTGAAGGGGAGGTCTGGACAAAGACAGCGATGGAATGAAGGATCTCAACATCCTGACCGCAAAAGGATAACAAACAAGTGACAAGTGCTCACCAAATCCTTGTGTCCTTGGTTTGAGTGGGATTCCGAAATTCCCGTGATTGGGCAACTCAATTCCACAATCAAGAGGAGCGCTTCGTTTCTCACTTACAGTATTGTCTTGCATGTTTCAGAATTCTGCAGCTGAACTGGACCCATCAATTTCATTTTCTCCGAGGACTCAGGATTTGGAGAACTGAAGTCAACCTTCTCCCACACTCCCTTCATTCGGCGGTGAAGGAATCCATGCCGGAGGGGTCAGAATCGCCCAACCCTCCGAGCAGGCCTGTGTAGTCTCTGACAGTCAACAAAAGTGGTTTTGGCCAGGCCATCGGTCTAAAGTCTATAGGCGTGCCTGGCAGGTACACGGCAGTTCCCAGCATCTCAGGTATCTGTGCAGGGCGAGCTCTTGATGTTGGGATGCCACAGGAGATGGCAGCCGTTCAGTGCGGAGCGCGCAGTGCAGTTCAGTGCCCCTTCAATGGTGCGAGGTCTTTTTCTCTGGAGGGTTCTACGAGGAAGTCTGGCCATTGATCCGGAAGTCGTCGCAGGATCAGAAGTTGGTCATTTGGAACTATGACTGTCGCAGCTGGATTTTGTTGCGTTTGGTAGAGGTTGGTCGGTCAAAGGCAAATGCTTGACTATAGGAAAGGATGGAAGAGATAGGAGATGCTAACCTTGCCCCCCAACAGAACCGAGACACTTGCAAGGGGAGCAAACACTTTCCAAACTGTGGTCCGTCTTTGTGCAAAGATCTCTCCATTCAAGACTCCAGATAGTTGGAAACAGAATCAGTGACGGGGATTCTGGAATTGTGAGACATAGGCAAAGGAATCTGCAGAATCATAAGAATGAAACAGCCAGTTTCTATGAGGGCTTGTAATATTCATGATCTAGAGGATGGTCAAGACGGTTCAAAGATAGCAACAAGAAGCTACTAGGAGCAATTGGCATCGCTACTAGTAACAAGAAGCTACTGGGAGCAAGGGCATCGCTACTAGTAACAAAGGGCATTACTACTAGTAGCATTCTTACTACTAACAACAAGAACGCTATGAGTCACAAAGTTCGGTGCCCTGCGCCCCGCAGCCACGTAGATCGAAACGCGTTTCCGCCACGCCACGATCCGTTCGCCTTGCGGTCGAAGATCGTTCGCCGCCGTGGTGAGCGATGCGCCTCGTTGGAGTAAAGCGTTTGACGGAGGAAAGAGCGGTGAGTCGGCGAGCCTTTCTTTTTGATGCTACAACCCCGGCTGAGGCTTGTGATCAGAAATCCACCTCTTTTCTTTTTCGATAGAGTCTGGAATATTTCTTAATCCCACGTGTTTGAATCAGAAACCTGAGGTCCAGGCAGGTAGACTCTAATTTTGACTGGAGGTTCTAGATCTTTTCACTAGATGCTGATCTAGAGAGTCCTTAAATTCATGCGACTTTCTCTGGCTGAGTTGGGTTTGCTCTTGGATTGTAAACCTATTTGAAGCTTCACTACTGCAGATCCAGCAGAATGCACAACCTTCACAACCTCTTTGACTTCTAGGTCCTAGATGGTCAACTTCCATTCAAAATAGAATGACCATAGTCAACAAATATGGCTTTTCATAATGCTTCATGAAACTGATAACACGTCGATCCGTGCTGTCCACGAGGCAGCCACAAAGCCAGGCAGGAGAGACGCCTGGTTGTGTCAGAGGACAGTTGCTGCAATTGATCGCAGGGGTTTCTTGGGATGTAAAAATTGCTGAAGACATAAGCAGGACATCCCCACACTCACAATTTTTTGTGGTCTCTAGAAACCAAGATGTTTCCAAGGAGAAAGGCGACGTAATTATACATGAGCAACGTCGGCCTTTATGTTGGATAAACAACCAGACCCACGTAATTATTATTATACAACGCAAAAGCGGAACAACTCTGTCTACCCGAGTGGTGGCAGTTGTTCATGGCTTCGTACTACCTCCACGCTTTCAGGTGAAAGGGAACCAACTTGTGCACATTAAATCATTACGGGGACTGAGGATTACTGGGTGATTTTTAGGTACTGGGACATTCTTAGGTGACCCAGGTAATCTTACTGTACTTCTTTTGGGTGTCTCCAATCGTTCTGATGGAGAAGTGGCAGCAGAGATCTCGTCTGTTTGACAAGCAGGTTATTCGCAGCGTGCCATACCAGAGCATGCCTACGGCGTATCAGAGTTCGCCGCAGTCCGTGCAGGCGCATTCCGTTGCTGGCTTCGAAAGAGAGGGGCCTTGTGTGAGTAGTGTTAGTGCTGAATCTCGTAAAATGCAAACAAACATACAATACATTCACGTACGCCGGATAAAAGTCTCAGGACCTTCCAATTATACTCTCATACTCTACTGGTACCAGCACTACTCAAATTTCCTTAGCCCTTTGGTTACTGCATCTGATTCCATAAGAAGCTGATGTGTCTGAGATTTCCAGAGCACATGAGGATCTGTCCTCTTTGACTCTTGCTCAAATCATTGGATGCGCCATGGCCTGTGCAATTCCAGGTTATAGTCTCGCTCCAGACATCCTTCCAACCAATAGAGATGGTCTCCAAATCCCCTTTTCATGACTGACAGTCGCCTGACTTCAACAGTCCCCGTTGTTTTTTGTCACATCAAGTCATCTAGGAACCAAATCATTAGTGCAAGCGCTTCTTCAAGGAAGCTTCCCCCTGCCCTCAGGCCGGGGGAGCTTCCTTGAATAAGCGTGAGCTATCCTGCATCCATACGAGTAGCTTGAGTAGCTAGGAGCCTTTTCCCTTACTTAAGTAGGCACCTACTTAATTGAGTAAGGGTGGGCTCAAAAAGAACAAGAACAAGCAAACGAAAACTCGAGAGTTTTTGGAACATTCACCTTTTCAGCTCTCAGCTCTCACCTCCTCTCCTCGTTTTCGCGAGGCACCCGTGGTTCAGGCGAGCGGGAGAGGTTATGGGGACGGCTTTGGTTCGATGTTTCAATGGAGGGCCTTGTTTACCACCAGCATTGATACATTGCGAAGGTGTTGAGTGCACCCTTTGCACCCTTTGTCAGAGATGATCAGCACACTTTTTTGGCTTCCTGAGCGAGCTTGTCGCAACGTTGACCTCAGGAAGGCGTCTTCTGGCTCTTGGAAGTTGATATGCAGTGCTTACCGATTTCCATGGGGAGTTTGGTGTGTTTTTTTTCGACCAAGACCAGCCCAGACTGCGCAGGCTGGCGAACCTTGGAGATTTGTCTCGTTTGCGGGCCAGGTTCGGGTGACTGATGTGACCGATCGAGCTGGGTGGTGGGTTTGGTGGCAGTTTGAGGATGAGATTTCCAGGATCAGGTCAGGTTTGCCCTTTGTTTCTAATAGCGTCCCTGGTTCCTAGTAACTAATGCCAGGAGCTACTAGTAGCGTCCTTGCTCCTAGTAGCGATGCCCTTTGTTGTTACTAATAGCTTCTTGTTCCGGTCGGGAAATCTTTCATTTCTTGCTGATAGCATCAGTCAGCAGATAGTGGTGGAGTATTGCTTGAAGGATCTTGAAGCGCTTTCCCCTCATATGCTAGTCCTGCTACAAGCATCTCGTAGCATTTCCAAATCCAGTAGATGTAGAGCATCTCTAACGGACACTTTGCGCAGACGAGGCAAAGCCTGGGCAAATCTCAGCAGTGCCGCAGGCTGTTGCACAGGCTGTCCCACAGGCACCAAGTGGAGCGAGCATCAAGCAGGTCTCAGAATTTCTACCATGAGAATCTATGAGATATGAAGCCTTTTAGAGAAGGCCGCGAGTGCCTGAGGCACAACACCTTCCTACTTAGTGCATCTTAGTGCCAGCATGCGTTATGTGTTTCGACAGGATTCAAGAGCTCGGAAAGCCTCCAGAACCAGCAGATTTTTGTACAGAATGCCCAGTTACATCCTCGAATGCAGATGGACTCTAGTGCATATCCAGTGAAGTACCGCATACTTTCACAAGGTGCGTGACGCCTGCTGGCTTATATAATATATGGTATCATATGTAAATAGCATCAATACGTGCTTTTTGCAGATCATTCTCAACTTTCTCGGAACTTACTAACTGTATACATAAGGTTTGCAGATGCACTGACTGGCGTATCGGAAGAATAAACTCAACTGTGCTTGCATTTCCTGCATTTCTTCCGTGACTTGCAGCTTGAGCAGCCAAAGTTATTTGGCAGTGATCATACAGGAGTGGAGGGTGTCCTGTCTCAACTGGGAAGCACCTGAACTTCAATTTCTTCGAAGCGAGTGCCTGTTGAACGGCGAACAATAACCATGTTCCTTTGGCAGAATCGAATTTCAACTGCAGTTGGTGCCGAACCTAACGAACACCAGGTGCATGGCTACTAGCAAGCCAGGGCATCGCTACTAGGAACGCTAGAAGCTACTGGGTCTTCGGACAGACCTCTCCGGACCGCCTCCGGGACGCGTGCACGCGCGTCCAGGCGATGAGGGCTCCGCGCACCTCAGGCCCTGTGCAGGCGGCGAGACTATCCGGAACTGGAAGCAGGTTCTGAACTTTGAAGAAGAACATCTTCGCTTTTAAACAACTTCACTTGGCCCGCTTTCCAGATGGGACATCCCCAGTTTTTTGATGGTCTTTTTTCCTTCCTATTCCGCGATCAACGGAAGAAAAGAAGAACCGTCAGAGACTTGTTGAACTTGTTTTCAGAATGTTCCTTCTGGGCTCGGATTCGTCCCCTCTCAGGCCGTCGCTCAGGCCGTCCCTGCAGGTGGGACGTCCCGCTCGCGGTCAAGACGTAGACAGCGTGGCTGCTTCGTGGCTGTGGTAGTTGCATATGGTTTGAGGCTTCTGTTTGTCGGAAGTTGCTGTGTTTTGGGGAGGCTTCCAAGCGTGACTTCGCACTTTCGTGTATATGTTGGATCTGTCCCATTACCTGTAATAGTTGTAAACAACTATCAGTATAGCTTTGAACAACGCCTTGACTAACCATCCTCATCCACTGTTTCTGGCAATGGGATAGACAGACATGGATAGACCCAATGTATATTATATATATACGCAGTTTGCCGGAAGGTGCAAACACGACGCGGGCATAACTTCCTCCCATTCCCCCATATCAAGTGCTTTTCTCAATAGGAGAAGTGGGTGTGAATGGCTGTGGGTTCAAACCTCAGAATCCATGGCCCCCATGGTCCATGGAATCCGGAAGGCGCACATGGAAGGTCCATCGATTTACTGTAGTTCATGCCCAAAAGCGTCAACAGGGTTTTGACATTCTTAAACTCTGTCGGCACATAAGATGCTCTTGGTACCTTTTGACACGAATGGATGTTGCCCCGATGATCCAGAAGTTGTTGGATTTTCCAAGTGTCATTATCTGGTAGGGACCGGTCTCCTTCCCTGCACGCATTTGTTGCCCAGCAACCTGTTACCAAGATCGCGCTCCACAGGTCCAGCGGCCTGGAAGCCTGGAGGATTTGGTGGACTAACACTGGCAGGGGCAGTCATCATTTTTTTCCGCCAATTTCTTCTGTCACCCATGGATTTGGAGGCTACGGTACCCCATTTGCACGTGATAGGCTTCTTCTCGCCTTGCGACCAGCTGCGTTTTGGCTCCATTGGTCGACGGAAGTACACCGAAAAAGCGTTTCGCCGGCTCCAGGCACTGAGGTCGACCGCTTTATCAGGTCGTACCTCAGGGATCGCCAAGTCTCTTTCCTTTTTCAGGGAACCCTGCCTTTCGCATGCAGAAGGTGATATATTCTGCTGGAACAAACGGATCCACCAAACACATGGGTGATGGGTGGGGCATCGGAGGCGGCAGGTTGTGCAAGTGTCACGGTTGTTGCCATGACCGTGAACGTGCCGTTTTCGTTTTCGGATGACCAGAAGAGCCAGCTGTGTCTGAAACATTCGTTGCCGAGAAACCGATACAAACAGCACTTAAAGACTCAAACATTGTCAATTCCAACCAAGGCTGTCACTTCCAAACAATCTTGTGCCTCGTTTACAGCTTTTTGTTGTATGCCCTCAGCCATATGCTGGGAGAGCAACACACAGTTGTCGCTTTATGGACATTCCTGAAAGGTTGGGGCAGGTGCGGTTGGGTAGGGCAAAGCGACACACTGTGCATTTCTGTGCATCACTGTGCTTATGTCAGCCTGTTGGAAGCTCTAACATGCATGAAATTTCAGGAGCGTGCCCTGGTCGACACTGAAGCCACCAGGTGTGCAGGAGCACGAACCAAGTAGGGCTCAAACCCGTATACCTGGTCATCAATATGCGGGTTCCCCACCAAGCTTTATCGTTTTCGCCAAGAGTTTCAAGTGGGTTATTGAAGAGCCCGGGGGTAGCAAGAGAACGTTTAGCCCCTCCCATCCCAGAAACACGGTGATTTAGCATGACTTCACCTGTCCGTGACTCGTCTTGTGCCGCCCACGCCACTCGATGCGCTCCGTCGGACCGCTCCGTCGACGGACCGATCCAACGTGCCGTCAAGGTCCGCACGGCTGCCGCGGGGTCCATGGATCCCAGCGAAGCGATGAAGAAGCTCCGCGAAGGCCGGTCGTGGAACGAAGGGGTCCGGTTGGACGGAGTGTCTGGTGGACCAACCCTGAAAGAGGTATTGCTCCGTTCGTAGCGATGCCAGGAGCCCCTAGTAGCGTTCTTGCTCCTAGTAGTACGGCCAGGAGCCCCTAGCGTTCTTAGGTACTGTATTTCTTCGGTGAAATCAGTGACGGAACTTGACGGATTCTTTTTTGTTTGAAGCTAGTAGGTCATGAACGCGAAGGACGTGGTTGAGGGTCAACTTCGAAACCACACGAAACATTGTGTTTTATCCTCTTATACTATCTTAGACTATAAAGCAATTTTTTGGGGTTACCTACAGAATGTGGCACGGGCCCCTTGAAAGTTACAGTTTCAATCTTTTGATTTTGAATGATTTTGACATCTCAGAAGAATGACTTTAAAAACCACGGGGTCTCAGAACAGAACCCGCTAGAAGAATCAGACCGGTGGAGAATCAGTACGGGTGGGCTGGGACGAATGGGATGCCAGGGATCGATGGATCTCTACTTAATTAAGGGCTAAGTTAGCTTCTAGCTAGGTAGCTAGGTAAGCTAGGTAGGAATCTACTTAATCAAGTAGGTAAGCTAGCTAGGACGCAGGCACTAATGATTTGGTTCCTAGATTTTTAGGGAAACCAATGATGCATTCTTGAGCAATTTGTTTCATGTTCCACTCACTTGCAGTCGAGGTGAATTGATGAGAGCAGCGTGAGTTGACGCACGTGTTGGTGAGTTAGACCCTGAAGAACCTCCAGACACCCACATTTCCCGGCATTTCCGGGGTCGGTGACTGTTTTCATCGAGTGTTACCAGGCCACACATGTGATGTGATGTATGTACTTTGAGTATTTTCTTGTAGACTCTTGGTTCATATCCTCTTTGAATCGAACAACCTTTATATCAGGGTTTATCAATCAAGAGTCTACAGTCTACAGGGCCACCATGTTTCACGAAGGAGCATCCGTGAGGCAACGAGCGCTTCGTGAAAGGAATACCAATGGCGACCAGGACCGGATGACAGGGGAAAGGGCCGTGGTGGGTCGGTCCAGAGTTCCTTTTTGTTACTGTGCTCCCTCTGTTGTTTCGTCCTTGGGCTGTGGCCGGGACCCCAATGTCCAGTCAGGGTTTCGTTTTTGTGCCCGCTGCTCCTGGGAGCTTCCAATCAGAGAATCAAAGGGCACACACTTGAAGCGACAGCCTGGCCAGTCGGCCAGTCACAGGTGCCGCGTTGTCCTGGACGGAATTCGGTACCGCAGGGAAGACGCATTTGTTCATGTTTGTGAAAAGTGCTCAGGTTTTCATGGATGCTGCATGTAGCAGCATCAGTTCAATTGACTACTGCGACATGCAGGATCCAAGTGCTGCTTGTGGATCTTGATGTTTAGAGACCCGGCTCTTTGGATTTGTATTTGGATTTGAAGCAACTTTGGAAGAGGTTTACTGTTGTGCGGCCGGTTTCAAGAGATGCTGGTTGGATACCAGTGCCATTCAAAGGAACCTGGACATGGCTGTAATTGCAAAATGTCGACATTGACATTGAGTCTGTTTCTGGCACACTGCACTGCTTGAAGAGCAAACACTGCCAGCACGGAAAGAGGCTATACTCAAGCAACAGAAGGGACACACTGTAAAGTTTCAGAGGTACTTTGTTTGCAATGGCACCGGGCACCGTGACATTGGAAGTGAGAAGCATCATGAAGTAATCTATGGAATAAAGCGGGAGCTTTAAACTTTTGCGCAGTTGCGTCCAGGAAACTTGTTGCGTTTTTAATAGAGAAACAATGGAAGCCGTCCTGGTGAACCCTGGTGAACAAATGGACCTCTCCATCCAGGCCAACAATATCCAAATAGGAAGTCTGTTTCTTCTACTAAGTCAGATTATGTAGAGGAGGTCTTCGAATTGGACCGGAAAAGATCCTTGGCCTGTGGTTTGTCCCAATCGCATCCATGATCATCCATTCGGGTCTTTTTTGCAAAAGTTCTCGATTCGTTTCTCGCCAAATTGCCTGATTTGCCCTGAGAGGACAAACCTAAACATGCGCACTCGCTTGGTGGATGAGGGCCAGGCAGGACAGCCAACGTGCAGGTTTGGTTCAAAACAGCAAGATGGACAATGATGGACATGTTGAACCTGTGACATTGCTTGACGTCAGCTTTGCCAATAGGTGATTTCAGTGCAGTTTCCAAACGGTCATTTTTTCTCCTCTCGCATCTGCGGGTTTCCCTGAACCATCCTGAACCTATATACTTGCAAGTAATTAGAATGTAACCATGATTAGAGATCGTTTTGTTTGAGACTTGGGGCTTGCTTTTTAACTTTCGGAGGACGAACATAGCCCTTCGGGGGGGCTGAAAAGGCGGTAGGTGTTTCAAGCCGCCGGGACCAATTGGTGGCTGATTGCTTGAGCTTAGCTCAAGGGCAACATTGGCGAAGACACCAGTGCAGTTGGTAGTGCATAAGTTTTGGATCCCCAGAGTTATTCCTTACATATTCTTGGAACATGAATATCATACTGACGAAAGGGAGTATCTGCAAGCATGACATGAATAATGCCCTACACCAGAGGCAAGTGAACTAGTAAGGGTGTTCTAATAGCACATGTGTGAAACATGTGTAGGGAAGAATCTTGGTCTTGAGTCTTGATTTGAAGATGTCTCTTTTGGTGGATTTTGGGTTGATGGAAGTGCACAAGCCGCGCAAGCAGTCTTTTTCGTTCATATATAGGAAAAGGCGGTCCGCACAGGACCGAACCTCGAAAGCTTCCAAAACGCACGAGACCCAAGCTGCGCACAGCGCTGGGCCCACAAGAGAACCCCACGCCACGAGTAGGCAGAGGAAGAGCGAGAATAGGAGTAAGGGGGGGGGTCGTTTGCATTGTCCGGGATTTGGGGTTGTCCCGGACGTCCGGGGAATCCGATTCACCAGGACTTGGCAAGAGCCAGACTTGCGCGGCTTGTGCATGCCAGATTCACCATTCACTGCGGGCTGATAAAGTGCCGCACCACTTTGCTTGCATATTCAATCCAAGATAAGCATTCACCGGTGGCCTTCGTCGCATGGAAGTTCCATGGCTTGTCCATCGCCGAGCAGCCTACAATATTCCACACATCAGTCTTCCGTACCAGAAGAGTGGCGCACAGCCCTGCCCAAGGCTTACACCTCACCCTTTTAAGTTGTAGCCCAGCGGCACTCGGTTGCTTTTCGACTCCGGTGTTCGAGCGCAGCAATGGCGCGCCCCCCCCAGGCACCTCACACAGCCATCTTGGGCTGCGCAGACTCCCGAGCTCCGTTGGAGAAGATCTTCGATGCTCTGCTGCTTGACTGAATGGAGAGCTTTTTCCTGAACGTATGGGATAGCAAAAAGACATCATGCGACTTCCATTGAGGTCAGCGGAAGAAATCAAGCCATTGGTCTGAATGTTATGGAACGAATAGGACAAGTAAACAACACATTCCATTCATTAATTGGTCTGGAGAAGCTGATGAGAAATGGACCACAGATCGTAACCCATGTGCCTTGTGCTCACATGTTGTCCTAATACATTTCAATCTTCTTGAACATGGATAGGGGATGTACCGGGGATGTAGGCTAGTTTCTGAGATACATTGCTCCGAATTGTTTGGGGCCTTGCTGGCTCAGGCGGTTTGTGGGCGAGGATGGAAAGACGGAACGAGATAAAACGGCAGCAGCAGACATCAAACCGAAAGAGCAGTTGGTTGTTCCTTTAAGTGGCATGAGTGGCCTAAAGACATGAACAATTGCCTTCCAGATCCTTCACCAATGTAGCTTTGGCTTTCAGAATCAGTTGGCAGAGCCTTGCCCAAGACTCATGTTCTTCGCATCAGCTTTTCATCCTACGTTTGTACATTGAGATGTCATTACGGGATACACGGCCTCGTTCGCTGACCACCTGACTCAGTGCCGCCGTGGGCTCGGTCAAGGCCTGGAGATCTCTTCGTGCTGCGCAACGCAGGAAACACCTGCACTCATGCTGAAGGCACTGTCCGAACGAACGGTTTCGCGTTCCATGTTCCGCAGAACGCGGATGCCATGCCGTGCGCCGGCTGGTCACGCCATCTTGGAGCTGCTTTTCTTTGAAAGCCTGCCATACTCCTGCCTTTGCTGCTTCTAGCTAGCGAAGTCAAGCTTCTCCAGAACTCGCAGGGCAGGAGAAATGCCTTTATTGCCCCAAGTGTGTTTCCTTTATTTTCCCTTCACATCTTGTTGATCTGAGATCAAAGTCCAGCAACCTGTCACTGCGGTGGCCAGTCTTGGTTTCGGTTTCGTTTCCGCTGCGCTGCGTCCGGCGCAGGCAGCATGGTGGGCAGTCTGGAGTTTGCCACGGGGAAGTTGGGGACTCGACTCATCCTGGTTTTGGGCCACACCGCCTGCGGTGCCATCAACGGTGCCACTCAGGTGACGCGACGATGGGGATGATTCGTGTGAGGTGATTGGTTGAAGATCGGTTCAACTAGTGCTTATTCGTGTCCCAGAAGCGAAACCAGCAAGCTAGGTCTAGAATTCGAAGTGAACTTATATAGATGGATTCTCACGCAAAAAACCTTTGGACTAACCTTCCAACTATGTTCCAGAGCCTCGCATGATCACGAAAGGATGTTTCTGAAGTCTTGGACTTCCTCGGAACTGCCGTCGCAGACCTACTTTGGAAAATCAACTGGCAAGGCCACCTCCGCCCTGGATGCTTGTCATGTATCAGTTTTCAAATTTACCAGAGTGGCAGTTTCGCGGCAACTTCAGCCTTTGAGTCCTCATCAGTTGATCAGCTTAGTCAGGGGCACCAAGCCTAGTGGTCAAAGATCTTACTGTATACACATATATAGATATAACAGATCGAAGGATCGTCAGATTCATGCGCCCATGGCTCCAAACCCCCAATCAGTCAAGAGCAAGGAGACTCTCGGGCTACTTGCCACCGCTGCTGAACCAAACGAGACGACCTTTTGGGGTAGCTCCTAGTAGCGTCCTTGCTCCTAGTAGCGATGCCACCTAGTAGCGTCCCTTCCTCCTAGTAGCGATGCCAGGAGCCCTAGTAGCGTCCTTGCTCCTAGTAGTAAGGCCAGGAGCCACTAGTAGCGTCCTTGCTCCTAGTAGCGTCCTTGCTCGTATCGTAGTAGCGATGCCAGGAGCCCCTAGTAGCGTCATTGCTCCTAGTAGCGTCCTTGCTCCTAGTAGTAATTGTAGTAATTAGATGTAATTAGTAAGGTGAGCAGCCCCTAGTCGTCCTTGCTTCTAGTAGCGATGCCAGGAGCCCCTAGTAGCGTCCTTGCTCCTAGTAGTGAGGTGAGGAGCCCCTAGTAGCGTCCTTGCTCCTAGTAGCGATGCCAGGAGCCCCTAGTAGCCTCCTCGCTCCTAGTAGCTCTTGACTGATTCTTGACTTTTCGATTCTTGGCTATACGGACATTTTCTTGGACCTTTTGTGTCCCCGACACCATTTTGGCCATGCCGAAACCGTGGCTTCGACCGACACCCGTGATCAATCTGCATCCACTCAGGAAGGCTTGCTTCGGGATTTGATGGAGGTCGCCGCATCTGGGCAAGATGGAAGCGGGACCGGGCGGCGAGGCAGCGACGGAGAGCGATGTTTTTCGTTCTTTGTTCTTACTGTATTTTTTTTTCTTGTTGATTTGGAGGCCAACGAAATCAGCTTGGAGATCCGATAGAAATCGGATGGAAGCCGGGACAGTGTCCGGGGTCGTGCAGGGTCGGCACGTGCAAGGAACAGCGGTGGTAGGCTCAGTGTTTTTCTTGAGTTGTGCTCTCCCCCTTTCCACAGGGATAACTCCACAAGATTGCGCATGTGGCCAGCTTACTTTTGCATGTGCATGCAAAGGTGCCCTATTTCATTTGCAATTTATGTTGGCGCCGTTACTGTCATGTTGGCTGTTACTGTCATTGTGTTTTCAGCTTGAGCAGACGCGTAGTCACATAAGATGGACGTTTTCGGATTGTGAAGGTTGATTCTAGGTTTTTTTGTTCCCATGAACCGATTGTTCAAGAAAATGTGTGGCCACAGAAATCCGCATTGTAGCCATTTGAATTGGAGATATATAAGGGGTTGAGAATTCCCTTGTTTGCGATCTAGCTCAGTTCGCTGAAGTAGGTTCACTATGTTTCACTGAAGGCTACTTGCTCGGTTTGCTGTGCAGGCAGAACGCGGTCGAGGGATACCCTCTTGTTCCTAGAGCCTGGCCTGTTCCATTTTGTTCCCCGGTCTTTGATTTGTTTCATCAGGAAAATGCTGCAAGCGATCTTGGGAGTGATGACATCGTTGCGGTGGGCAAGCACGCCGTGAAGATCAACGTCTTGCATACCATGAAGTTTCTTCTCAAGTGCCTTCGCTCTGGTAGTGGGGCAAGATCCTTTACACCCGGGAAGAGACCCACGTGGAACCTGAACATAAACCTGTGAAAGACTCTTGTCCTCTACAACCCAGTGGTTTTCTGGTTCCATGTGGGTCTCTTCCAGGGCCGACCTCGCTTTTCCTCCCCACCTTTGTGTAGCGTGGCCCTCTCTCCCTCTCTCTCGTGCGTCGAGTTGCACCAGAGGTTCCCAGGCCCAAAAACATCGTTCCCTACTGGTTATTGGATGTTATGGGATGTTGGGATTGCTTCTTTGAGGTGGCTCCCCAAGCCCGAGGAATTCCAAGGATCAGGATTAGAGGTGTACAGCCCAGCGTAGCCACTGATTTCAATGCAAATGCTCATTAATTCAACGAACAACATCCCCATTCGAGCCTCCCCGCATTCACAGATATTCGCCAGGTACAGTAAGACCATTCGCGACCTTGTGATCAGTGGGAAGGTGGAGCTGCAAGGGGGCATCTACAATCTGGAGACAGGCCAGCCCTTTCCTCGTGAGACTTTTTGATTCCACGTGCCAGAGCTGAGGACATGACGCATTTGGCCACCCTGGCAAGGTTCATTGCTCGGTGTTGCCCCGGCATGCTGATGTATGGAACGCGGAGGTCATGGGTTTTGGATGGTGGCTATCAGTTCGACCGGCCACGCGCGACACAGGCCGAGTGGATTTCCTTGGCAAGCACCCTGAGCAGGAGAGTGGAGCAGAATCGGAGTTAGGTTTTAGACTAGGCAGCAGGGTTATGCATGAAGAAGCACACACTTGAGAGTATATAGAGGCACTTGAAGAGTACAAGGACCTGTAAGAACTCTCAAATGCTCGCCATTTGTGCCGTGCAAGTTTCGAAGACACCTCTTTTGAGCTTTCGCGATCCGAGAACAAAGCCACTCTCAGCTGCCCTGTCCGAGGGACTTGAAACATCGAGTACCGCTTGACCTCCCAGGTCGGTCCCACGGTGTTTCGTTCGACCAGTCGATGCTTCCACGCAGGATGTGCTCTTCGGCTCCAAGATGGACTTGCCTCCATCCATGTTCAAGTCTGAGGCTGGGGGGGGCTAGGCGCCGAGACTAGGCCCAACTGCATGGCTGGAAAGACTGAAGTTGCTGGTCCAAGAACCAAGGATGGAAGCACAATGGAAGCGGCCCAACGTCTTGTTGATTTGCCTGCACCCAGGTTCTTCCTAAGTCATTCAGAAGTTTCCAAGCCTGAAATCCTTCGGGTGTGAAATAAAAATATAGGAAGACCCCACAGTTGAACCCCTGGTGAAAGAAGACTTCCACAAAAGACAAACGCCTAGTTGGAGGGTCTCTTGATTCTGCTCAAAAAAAGAGCGCTCGTATTTCCCCATGGACAGATCACTGGTGGGCTGCACTCAGGCACCGAGCTTCGTGCGCACCACCGAGTCCAATGCAGTGAGCGCCAGGGAGGCTCTGAATATCTTGGCAGAGGGCAACAAGCGCTACCTCTTAGGTGGGATGGGCGTGAACGGGGCTGGGGGGTCCAGGTGAGAGCGGGGAATCACGCTTTCTTTACTTGATTGATCTTGATTGTAGTGACACTGGAGAAGGGGTGCATACTAATGACCAAGAATGACCAAGAACTCTGGGAACAAGATTGGCTCTCACACGCTTTAGCGAAGGGTTAGGACTTTTGCCTAACTACCGGTGAGTAGTTTGAGAGGTTGAGGCTTCCTGTGGCCTACAACAAGAGGCTTTTGTTTTTTGGGATGAGGGCATGATATGGCATGTCATGATATGCTATTTCATGCGCTTCCTGCCACAAGATACCACTCAGACATGATTAGTGACACAAGTAGTCCTCTTGTGGGACAAACCGTGGTGCAGCATGGAGCAACTTTCATTGTGCTTCCATTTGCTGGTCATTTGTACCCACTCGTGGTCGTGCCTTCCCTCTGGGGGGGGCCTCAGATGTTACATCAAAGATGGCTACCTCAATGAGACCCAAAGTTCCTAAATAGTGTCAACCTATTGTGTCTTTTTATCTTTTTTGAACTCCGAACTCTGATGGCCTCTTTTTTGGAGCCAACCAAGATGTTGACCACCAAGATGTTGGGACCGAGACCTGTCGGACCTCACCAGGCGAACCTAAAGCCTTTGGAGCCACCAAGGACTGTCGGACTTGTGGATCTTCCCTTTGTCGATTCTCGAGGCCAATCACATCCCTCTCCCAGCTCCAGAAGTCAAGTGATCATTGGGTCTTTAAATGTTTTTAAATGTTTTTTAATAACAGGAGGGACATTGAGACATATTGAGACAGTCAGGGCATCTGGATGGGCCACTCGAAGTCACGGAGAGGACATGCGCAAAGCGTTGGTGGACAAGGGCCAAGCTCCCCACGTGGCCGTGGTCGGATGCATCTCGGACCGCAGCAGTGTACGTGGTCGGTTGGGATTCGTGGCGGATCAGCGGACCCGACATTGGGTATCAGCGGACAATGGCCGTGTGATTCATTGATTCATTCACGGCATTTCACGGCTATTTTTTGGGGCCAAAGGGCCTCAGTAGGTGTACTGCAATTGCCAATACACGTAAGTGATCCCCGTGCATTTGACAGATCTCCACAAGACAGCCACACCTAAAGTCCTTCGGTCCTTCGTCATCATGAACTGCTTGGCAAATCGGTGCCGACCCGAGTGAACCTGACGCAGGTTCCGACTCTCGCGCTCCAGTGGAGACCATTTTTGATGCCTTGCCTGGAGACATCTTTGTCCTGCGCAATGCGGGCAACACCTGCACCCATGCCGAAGGTGTGCGACATTTTGGTCGAGACGGGGACGGTCACTGGGTGAGCGAACTTGGACAAGCCACGAAAGTGAAGCGGGGACAATCTGGAGAGCGAACCCGTAGATATGCCTCCTATTGAATGAGTGTTCCCATGTTCAGAGATTGACACCAAGAATGGACTCCTGGCAAGAAAGGGCCCCTTCACACCGCAGAGGCAACTGGCAGACATCGCTTGCATGTGTGTAAATCAATGCCTTAGGACCATGGTTTCCAGCCTCGTTCGGGCATTGTTCTTGCCCTGTTTGTTAAGCACAGACGTTTGCAGACCTTCAATTGGTAGCCTTTGACATCCCCGGTAGAACTTGTGTAGGATCCTTGTTGCATGCAGACCTTCATAGAAGATTTTTTGCTGAACTAAAGGCCCAGTCATTGCTTCTCAATCTTATGAGTTTGAAGTCGCGTCGCTTTAAACCAACGTTGCCGTGAGGGGCGCATGACGAATGTATGCACACCATCGCACACCATGGCACACCCAGGCCCAGTGCAGTACGTCTGTGCCGTAACGGCAGAGCACGGGGTGTTTTGCATGTTTCAATGAGTAGGCACGCCTTTGAGCTTTGCCTGTAGGTCAGTCATACTCTTTCCACCCTGTGGTATTTTGTGAACAAATAAGGTATTTTGTGATCACATGATGTTTCTGGATGTCCACTTATATATGATGGGGTCCCAGGAAGACGATTTGAACTCCTGGCAAAAATGGGTCATGCTTGCCAGGATTGATTGATGGAGGGGGATGGTAACGGTGTTTTATGTTGAATTGACCGAACCAAGCGAACACACTTGCCGCCACCCCTCCACCAGTGAAGCAGCTTTTGTGGGCACCATTCATCCTCATGAGGTCACCGACCCTGAGGCACTGGTGACCCTGCCGATCAGAGACTTAGTCAGTCGGTGGTGATTCGCATGACCCGAACGACCGGCCTTCCAGGGGCTTTTTAAGTGAAGCAGGGAAGGCTGTCGCCTTGGAGCACCGAAGAAGCACCGCCAAACGTGACCGCGATGAGTGCCAGCCGTTTGGGCGGCGAATTGGAGGAAGGCATTAGTCGTTTTATTGGATCATCGCTTCAGAAAGGACCATATCACCTGCAGTGCTGCACTGGCTGCAGGGGCTCCATTTTTGGAGCACATCTCGAGAGAATTCAGACGTGATTAGCTACGACTCAGCCATCGCCTGTACAAGGATGGGTGAAACGAACTCCGAACTTTGGACGCCCGTGAGGTCGAGGCCAATTGCATCAGCTAGTGTAGCAGCTGCATGACTACACTAGCGGGTTGAAGCTTGCTCTCAAATTGCTGGACGACATGGAACAGAAGTCGATACGACTTCGTCTTCAACACTGCAATGCTGCTGTTCTCACTGCACTTGGTGTAAACGTCCATCTTTCTCCAATTCATGACGCTGCAAGATGCATGCTGTTCTCGCTGCAAGATGATTGGTCCTGTCTTCTATTGGCGCACCTGTTGTCCCACTTGCACCTCCTCCGCAAAACTGAACGCCATGGAGCCCAAGGCCGCCTTGGCCCAAGGCACCCCAAGTGTCTGATCGATTTGTTTGTTTTGAAACCACCAGGATGGCGGATGAGTCCAGGGCTCGGCCTCCGGCAGGCTTGCCGTTCTCTATCTTTGTACAAGCGCTTTTTGTTTTCTTGCACTGTTTGGATGTCCCTATCGCTCAGGGTTGATCCTTGTGGCCAAGTCTTCAGCTTATGACATCTTACCTACAAAGTCTTACCCCTCCACTGGCCTGATCAGTCGCCGATGGCTTGCGAGTCGGATGTTTTTCGAGCATCCGTGACCGACCGGTGTCGAGACGTGCACCCGGTGCATGTCCTTGGTCCAGAAGAACTCATGTTCCTACGGCTTTTTTGCACTTGGAGGGTGCAATCCTTCTCAAAAAGCTCATGTCGTTGCTGGGAATCCGCATTGTTACTGGACGAAAGCATGATATCCGTGTGCATCTAGTCTACATTGGCCATGCCACAGCTAGAGACGGAATCTACTCATCCTGGAGCACTTACCAAGAAGATTCTCTTTGGTGTCCGAGGATTTTTGTTGCACAGGTACCATCTGGCATGCTACTCATCGTGCGAAAGCCAAGAGCGCCACAAAGCTAAGGCAGAGGAGAGGTTCCTGCCGTGTGATTTGCGTGAAGCCGAAAAGCTGATGACCTATTGGGTCCAAGCCGATGTGATCTTAGCTTTTGTCCCGACTCGTCCCGACTCGTCCCAGAGAGATCTTCCTCCACGAAGGGTTTTTGCGTTCCAAAGGAACTTAATGGAACTTAAATATAGCGGTTTCACGCCTTCCATTCGGAGCCGACTGACTCGTCAGCCAGGCAGCATCGTGGGAAGCTTGGAGTTTTGCGTTGGCAAGCTAGGACACTCGGCAATGAGTTCAAAACGATGACATTTGGGTTAGAACCCATGGACCCATAGCTGTTCAGAGGCCTCTCAGACAGCATTTTGGCAGGAAGTCGCTTGATCCTGGTCATGGGCCACACGCAGTGCGGAGCCATCAATGGTGCCACCAAGACCTACTTGGCGGACAAGAGCTCGGTTGACCGTGTGGGGCGATGGGAGTAGAGAAGAGTGTGGAGTACTTTAGGGTGCTTTGACCATGAGTTTCGCCATGTCTTGCCACAGTAGAGAGGTTTGGAACTAGGGCCGCCTTTCCAAGAAATGATTGGCATGGAAAGAGTCTATGGAAGATCTGCAAGAGTCAATGAAGTTGGTCCAAGAAGTTGTACTTCTGCTCGCCAATCGGGTCCATGCGACTTGCCCAGGGTGGATTCTTACAGACCTTCGTTGAACCTTCTTCCTTTGGGCTTCCCAGCCAAAGGTCTTCTCGAAGATCTCGTCCAGGCGCATCCCTCTTGTGCCCTGGAGGGCTTGCTCTTCGGCCTTACTCGGGTGGCTGCGGATGCTGCTCAGGAGGGGGGAGGTGGGTCCCACCACTCCTGTGGTAGAAGGGCAACAACGGTAACAAGAAATTGTTGCATACTTTGACCCTGGCGTTGATGTCACATCGACCTTTGCAAAGGCACATGATACACTTGCCCAGCTCCCATCTCCTCCATCAGACCTTGGCAGGATTAGACAACACCCCAACAAGAGATACGTTTGGGAAGTAGATGAGATAAGCTAAGTTCACTACCAGGCAGCTAGGCATACATACACATATATATATATATATATACACAATTTTTTAAAATATGTAATATGTAATATTTATGTGTAACTAAGTTCATATACAGTATATCATTCGTCGTTGAGTAGAAACGAAACAATGCTCAACACCAACAGGGGCACCGATGCGTTGACCGGTTCCAGCTCTCCAAAAATTACATTGCCCTCCTAGATTCATAAGTGGATCTCCCATTTTCCGGTGAGTTAGAATCCCATTCATGGCGATTCAACGGGATTTCAGAGCTTCCTTTGCCCATCTTCAGGAGTTGGGGCCAAATGCCACGGAAGACCAGCTCGCCAAGCACTCCGTGAAGGCTGACCGTTTGCGGATCTAGGGATCAAAGCGAACAACATCTCTTCGGATCGCCATCACCACGAGTGACGGTCCGCCCCGGATTCGGGGTCTGTCCGCCACGTCCTCCGGGACCCGGGGGAGTTGTTCCTTTGGGTCAATGCCCACGTCACTGGGTCCATCGGGTTTGTTTCGCACGCCGGCGGGTCATGCGCACGCACGAGGTCAATGTCTTCCACTCCATCAACTTTCTCCTTAAATTCAGCCAGCCCATCCGGGACTGGAAGGGCGCGATGCCAATCGCGCGCGAGTCATTGATGGTGCGCGAGTCGGGTGTAGTGTGGACATCAATCACTCGTCGGCTACAGGGAGACCAATCAATGTTGACCAGCCAGGTGACTTGGTGTGGAGGGTTTTTGGGCTTCAAGACTTGGGGCAAGGCATAGAACTTGCTCAAGAGTCGTGTTTGAAGTGAGGGGTACATATCCCATTTCTGGCATGACCATCGTCAGCCTTGGGCGAAACTGTTCCACCTGCTTGGTGTGTTTGGCTATGTTTGGCTCCCCCAAAAGTTGCGGTAAGAACTCCTGCACCAGCAAGTGCTTATCTGACGCATTTTTTTAGGTGGATGTCCAGTCTGATGTCTTGCCACCTTGAAAGAGTGTAGTCGCCATTGGAAAGGCTAAGCCGGTTTTTCGACGACGTGCGCACCCACCCCTCGTCTCGCATTCGAGACTCGTCTCTACGACTCACGCGCCTCCAGGACTTGGTCGCCAAAGGCGAACTGGAGGTCCAAGGTCGCGATCCGTCGACGGGTGTGATCCGAAAGCGTTGGGGGAATGGACCGGAGCGTTGATGGACGTCGACGGACAGGAGGTGTTCAGAAAGTCGATGGGAGCCCCAAAGAAAGTGAGCTGGCCTCTTCAACACGGCTTCAAATGGTTTCAAAGCCTTGGTTGCAGAGGTTACAAAGCTCGTGAGCTTCATCCATAGAAATGTGGGTCAGAAAGAGAAGATGCCAAGAGCCAAACACCAAACACGTCAGATCTAATGAACATGGTCCAGAAATCTGGTAAGCAATCATCGTGACTCTGAAAGAAGAACATCTCGGTCAGATGCCACGACTGTCCCGCCTGCATCTCGGTCAGGGCTACTGACTGCCTCGAGAGTCCAAAAAAGAGGGTTGATTACCTTATCTCAACAATTACCCAGAAGAAGGAATGGAAGGTTGGGAAGGGTTGATTACTTCTGACCTTTCTTCTTCTTCTTCTTCTTCCAACTTACCTTACCTCTTAATGTTCAGAAGAAGAGTCGGGAAGGTTGGGAAGGTCCGTGATCGCCGCTGTCGGAGTGGAGAGCTGTGGACACAGGTGCAATCTACAACTTGGAGACAGGGCAAGTGGACTTCTTGGGCCCTTCGCCCAAACAATCGGAGCTCTTGTCCTCCAAGATGCCTCTTGGTCTGAGACAGATCGACCATCGACGTCCCAGGCCAGAGCTGCCCGCATGTTTTTTCTACGTTCTAGAGGGCATGCTCTTTTGGTTTGCTGTCGCGGTTTGGAAGGCGGTCTGGTTGTTGGGGACTGCAAGAAACTTTGATTTGTGTTTTTTTTGGCACATGCTACTACCTCTTTTTTGCTTGTTGCTTCTTCGCTTCTCTGCTTTTGTTCTGTACTCCCTATCCAGCAAACATGGAGGTGCTTTGGTATTCGGAATTTATAGTCGTAGTCTTCCAACATGCAATACCAACGATGATTGTTGGTCAAAACAGGCTACACCACTTAATCCTCCAAACTACGAAAAAAGAAAGAACACCTGGTAGAGGCCATCTTAGCTTCAAGGGGGGGTAGAACAAAACTCGTGTCTTGATCCAATTTCCCAGAATTGGTTTAAGATGCCTTAAGGGAACATCCGCAGGAGACCATGGTTTTCGCTCCTCCAATCTGGCACCATTGGCCTCGTTCGGTTCGCTTGCTTTGGAGACCTAGGTTCGTGCCACCCGGCGTGGCGGGTGCTTCGCAGTCCTCCGTGCTCTTAGGGCTCCACGGCGTGCGCACTCCGGAGGCGCGGCTGGTGAGCCACCGGACGGTCCAAACACGGGATGGACAGGAGTGCAGGAGCTGCTGCGGGTCGGTAGGGAACAGAATCTCAGCACCTGGCAAGACATTTGGACAAAGACATTTGTGTGAAGACATTCGTGTAGGTGTGGAATTTCACGTCGCAGATATTCCATAGGCGAACCCATGGAGATCGTTACTACAAGCAGTCTCTTCTGCATGATACGATCAAACGCCTAGGAAGCAAGGATGTTTTCGCATGGCTTCGGGCGTCTCATCTTGCCCCTCATTGTTTTGATATCTTGACTCATCCTGAAAGTTGATTGAGCAGAGTCAAAACGCAAGGGCCCTGACACATATAGCCACCATGAATTAAAGCAAATGTGTTTGTCTTCAAAGCTAGGATGATGGTTGGCTTGTTGGCTGCGTTGCCGGTTGGCTAACACACATATATATATATATACACACGTAAAACGACAAAAGTCCATTGAGAAACGAGACACCTCAATGTCACTGTCATGATCCCCAAACCATAATTGATGAGCGTACGTTTCCGCCCATTTTGGAATGGTAACCTTCACGGCCGTTTGATTGTTTCTTAAGGTGCGATCCATTGTGTATGTTCTAAAGTCGCAGAGGTTCATTCAGAGTCAGAGCATGTTGCTTTTTGTAGGTTGACTGCCCAGTGGCCTTCACTTCAATCCGTTCCTGTCCAGGATCCTCCTCTGAAACCCCCTGCAGCGTTGAAGCTGTTGAAGGAAGGCGTGGAGGAACCAATTCCTGTTGGTCTGGGAGCTACATACAATGGACATTCATGAGCTACATTGGAACCCACCCATGGACTCATGCGGAACGACATCGGTACACCGTTTGGAAGGTCGTCTATGGATGTGAGAAATGACGGGCTCATCCGTCCAGCAGATTTGTCGTTAGGGGTTGAGCCATTCTGGCATAACGGCATAACAGCATAACAGCTTCTGTGATACAAGAGTTTGAGCCACAGCCATCCATACACATGTAGCGTACCAGAAGAAGGAAATACATCCAAAGCACTGAGGTACCTCGAAGTCAAAAACCTAAACGGGATATCTTTAGTTCACATGTCTTTTTCTTGAAGTCAATTACTGTAATCTTTGTGGAGAGCAAAGATGCCGTCACTGTGTCCGATATCGGGATGTACCAAAAAAGTGACTGTTCCTCTTAGGGTCCCATCACCCTGCGATGCCCAGACACGACAGCGGCATCCACAGGCAACCTGCGCTTCGCCAAAGGCGCGCCGGAAGCTGGAAAGATCGATGCGCAGATGTGGCTTGGAGCCGAACAGGGAGTGACCCTGGATTTGACTGGATGGAGTGACGTGACCCTGGCGGATGGGGTGAAGATGGTGGCCACGTCTTCAATGGTGCCCACTTGTGTGGGGTGCTTTTCAGATTTTTCAGCAAGTTTCCTGGATCAATGCCCTTGAAGAATGGTTCCAATTCTACGAAACACCTTGCACGCAACGTGCACACAATTGCCCTAGACTCTGGACTGTAGATGGACATCTATTCAACCTGTTGTGCAATGCTACAGGGTTTTTCTCTGTTGGTTGTCGGGGACCCTGTGCTTGTGTGAGTGAAACTGTTATTCAACCCCCAGGAACATTGAGGGTTTGGGGCACTGGTTGCACTGTTTTGATTCCATTCCTGTCGTGGCAGCCGATCTTTCCTCTTTGAATTGTCGTCTGAACTCTTGGAGTGATTTTTGGTCTGTAACGAAGCAGAACTATTTTTGCAGGGCTGCTTTTTAAAGGCCAAACACTGCCCTCCTACTACTTAATCAAGAAAATTAATTAAGTAGGCGCCTACTGAATTAAGTAAGGGAGTAAGCTGCTACACATGAACACAGGATAGATCACGCTTCTTCAAGGAAGCTGCCCCCACCTGAGGGTGGGGGGAGCTTCCTTGAAGAAGCGCTCGCACTAATCATTTGGTTCCTAGATTTTTAGGGCTTGGTGGAGACTGGCAAGCCAGAGTGTTAAGTTGAATTTGTGCAGGTTTAATCGTCTGTAGCCATGGCTCTCCTGTTTCAAGGTGCTGACCTCACAGCTTTCCTTGCTGACCATCCATGGCGCCAACCCGCAACCCTTTCCTTTTCTCTCCTGCCCGCAAGTTCAGGTATGTCGTTGACCCTTTGTCGACTGGGTTACTTGAATTCTGTATTCCAATAACGGTCCCGAGGCGCAAGGCCTTGGCCGATGTGGGCCAGGCGCCACACACCGCGGTCTTGGGTAGCTTGGTGTGCAATCGGTGGCTCAGAAATGGGTAAAAGTCACAAATAGTGGAGGGTATATGGGTGAAGTACAGTTGAATGGACATGTCACACCTGGATTGCCAATATATAGAGAATCCATTTTGGTTCTACTGGTTCATTTTGGGAGTTCAACCCAGATTTGTGGGGTTCTGTGAGCCCCTGAGACAACCTGAGATTTGCTGAGACCATTTGTGAACGGATTTATGTCAACGATGCATTGGGACGATGGATCAGTTGGCTAGTCTGTTGATTCATGCCAGAGAAACCCATGTACCATCTCCAATCATTGACCCTTGGCCCGGCAGAGGCCCTGTGGAGGGTACAAAGGCGCGTTGCCGAATCTGGCCCATTTCGTTGCAATTCGCGACACACTGTGGTGTTATTCTGGTCGTATTTCGAACCTGGAGGAGCGACCTGGTGAGATTTCACACTCGATTGCACAGAATGCTGAGTGTGTGTAACCCTCGATTCAATGGCGTTCAGCCACCCTGCATTACCAATGTTCAAGCCCATGCACGATTTACAGGGGCAGGGTGCTCATGGTGGCACAGGTTCAACATTTGCCCTCCTCCTAGCGGAACTGGACAATTGTACCTTGGAAGTCTGCCCTCCTCTACAAGCAGCAGGTTGTCCACTTGACATGAGCCAGAAGCGATACTGATTACCCTACACCACTTCCACTAAAATGTCACACCGGCTGATGCAAGGAAGGTTTAGTTTATTCCATTGCTTAGCCATTCCAGATGAAGTTTCATCACTGAGATGATTTCGGAGTGACTACTACCCACAATCCTCCTTGTCAACTACCTTTGGGATCATCCTGGGTTAGTTGCCTGTCGCCAAGGCTGCGCTGATTCGCGGGTGCCGTTGGAATTGGTCTTTGACACCTTGCCTGGAGCCCCTTGGTTGAGGGTGTTGCGATGGTGATAAGGTGAGAAGCCTCATGAAGCTTCCAGCGAATGCAGAAGGCAGAAGGTGTTGATTTTGACGCTGTTGTTTGCAAGAAGAACCAAAGATGCAAACTTCAATCCTCCTGACGGGATCACATCTCACAGCAGATACTGTTCATTTGAAGCAGGAGTTCATACGTCGATGATTTGATGGTGACTCAGGACCTCTTTGTTCTTCGCAATGCCGGAAATACTTGCGCCACTCAGCCTCAGCTTCAACATGTGGGTGCATATTCAATTTCTCAAAGATTCTCAGTTGGACCTCTGGAAGGTTCAGGAAATGGATCCATCTACCCATTGGTTGGGGAAGTTGGGGGTGTCCCGGATCTCAAATCTACACCCAGGCCATCCCGGGGCCCATGTGTCTTGTGGCACCGGAAGCTGCGACCGCCACTGGCGAGACGGCCGGGTGTTCCGTGTTCTTGCTGCAACGGTACTGCTCCGCACAGAGCTTTCAATTAGCCTGCAGAAAGCGCAGTGGGGTTCTCTGCCCGTTTCGTTGGACTTTGCATACCAACTGACCTGTGGACATTGCCGTCGAAAATATTTCAATTTTATTGGATGGGTTCCCTGTGCTAGCAGAGTTTCAGACAAGGGAATTGACGTCATGCTTTCCAGCTACAGTTGGTAACAGAATTGGTCCTGAAACTTTCAGAAGCCACTGACGACTAGTCCTGAGTACATGTTTGTGGAGCGAATCTTTTCGATAGATGGATAGGAGGCCATCGCTATTAGGTTGCAGGCCATTGCCAGTAGGTTGGAGGCCATTACTACTAGTAGCAAGAAGCTAGTAGGTTGGAGGCCATCGCTGCTAGGGTGGAGGCCATCTACCAGGTTGGAGGAATCTTCCACAAATCTTTGGCCAATAGGCTCCACGGATCAATCCCCTTCGATATGTCACCCCCATGGTTTGGGGTCTTTTGGGGATGTTTTGTACAAGAGATCACATGCATTTTAGACATCTTCATCTGAATAATCATTAACCTCGGATCATCCATGTCTAAATGCAGTTTTCACATCCACCCACGTTGCAATTGGATTTCATCGCTGACACCACTGGTGTCCAAGGTACACTCTGAGGGAAGTGTCTTGGGATCCCTGGAGCTGCGAGTCTGCAAGTTCTTTTTTGAATGAATGGTGCAGTTGAAAAGGGACGGGGAGGCCCCTGAAAGATATAAAACACACAATCAATCGATCAAGCTAATCACTATATATACTATATATACGCATGCATAATATACAAATAAAGGAACTAATCGATCAGAGAAACTCTGCCATCAGAGAGGACCAAGCTGCGTCTTTGGAAGGACAAGCTCTCACATGGCGCCACTGACCTTGGTTGCTTGTTTCGCCGAACACACCGGGCGGAAGAACTTGCAGACTGCCGTTTTTTGGAAACGGGCGAAGGTTTTGCATCGGCGCGCTCAACACCAAGCTGATCCTCATCCTTGGGCACACGAACTGCGGGGCGATCAAGGGCGCCACCAAGCAGTACCTCTCCAGTAAGGCCACGGGAGACGAACACTTGAGTAGCAAACGGGGCAGCGAGTGAAAGTGTTTGTGGGTTGGTGTTGCTGGAGTACTATTCTTGATCATAAATGGAATTCGGATGAATGGGGTGAGACCACGTAAGACAACTAGTCTCTAGCGGCTCTTGAAGGATAAACTTTTACTTTGTCCACAATTTAATGACTATGACCATCGTGGGCTCCGCTTAGATTATCGATGAACACCACCTAGAGCTGGCAATGGCTATTTAGAATCACAAGGCACTCCGGAGAACAAGCAATGGCAGATTGAATCGGATCGACAAATTTGGCTCACTCTGCCTGACATCCCGAAAGTCGATCGCATGTTGGTTTCACCCCAAAGGGCAAATTGCCACCTTCCAGATGGGAGGTATGCGGTATTTTTAAGCCTGGGGAAGAGGTTTCTGAGAGGTTGAATCGAACACACCAACGCACACACACATGCACGCACATGTTATATATAAATATATATATATATATAAATATATATATATAATATATATATATAAGATGTCTCATACTTTACATGTTTGCACCGAGACCACATTCGTTCGCTTGGCAGGGAAAGCCCAAGGAGGATCCTTGGTGGCAGAGAACTGGGGTTTGCAGCTCAGTGGACCCTCTCAGCCGACCTCAAGACATACCTCAATACATCTCCTCTGGGTTGGCGAAAATGGTCTTTCATGCACAGGGAAACACATTCTTGGAAAACACCCTGCGCAAGGGTCCGTGTGTGGGACAGAGGTGTAGGAAACCAAACGCCCGCCAAGCCGATGAATCGGCACCAACAAACAGAGTCCTGAAAGGAACCCACGCCCGCCCACAGCCCAGCATCGCTTCGCGATGCAGCGGGTTCCAACATCAGGCTCCGCAACAAGGGGGCCGAACCAAGGATTCATCCACCCAAGCGAGATCCCAAAATAAACAGGCTGTACGCCCAGTTGGTGCTAGCTCACTGCACCCGCGGGCCGCACGCGGCAACGGGCGCGGTACACGGCTGGAGAGGAACTGGCAGCGCGCGGGCGCGCGGTGGGACCTACAGGCACGAGGCTAGGAACGCCGAACCCATTCCCTCTGTGCGGAGACGCTGTCTTTGACAGGCTCCGTGCAAGTCCACGTTTGGCCATTGGGTAGCTGTTCCTTAGTATCTACCAACTTACACAGAGACCAGTAAGGCGACGGTTTCCCGCCCGAAACCACCGGTACTTTCGAGGACGAGCGGCTCAAAGCCTAAGTTGTGCTGTGCGCAGCGTGCTTGCATGTCGGCATGTTTGCGCTTCAACTCAGCGGGCGGCCGCGGTCGGGGCCACGGCACGGGTGTGGGCGCCCTGAAACGGGGTGGTGATGCCAAGGCAATGCGGGGGAACCGTCTCCAGGATGATTGCTGTTTGTGACCTGGTCCCATGCAACATGACAATGGTGACCATACGCATCTAAGTTTTGCATGCTTTGCTGACAAAACGAACACGCCAGATTATCGTCAAAAATGCTAGGAGGAGATGCCGAGTTTCTTGACATTTTGGCACGTTCAACCGGGGATTCACATCCGACTATAGCTCCAAAGACAATCCAAACCAAAGCCTTGCTGCAGCCTGTAAGGGGACTCATTTCATCATCAAAAGCGTAGATCTGCGATGATGCTTGCTTCCTTTCTACAACAGAAATCATTTGGACAATCTTTTCTGTGCCCAGTGAGCTGGATTCCTGCTGGTCACCCGAAACAAAACCCTTCCGACAAACGACCGGTGGATAGAACCGGAACCGTCCGGCGGAATCGCAGAACGACCCACATGTGTAGCGCATGTTTTCCTGTTGGAAATGAAACTCAGGAGCCCGCAAATGCCTTGGGGGCCCTCCTGATGGGGCTTAGCGATGTGGCTCAGGAGGCGAAAGTGGAATGGATGGGGATTTCGGATTGCCCTGGAAGCCTGTTGGCTTCGATGAGTTTGGATTCGAATGTGGAGAAATCAGTAGATAGGTTGGTTGATGTGAAAGCTGGTCGTACCAGGTGGGTGGACTGACACGAACCTCGGGCCGTGGCGTGGCCACCCGGGGGGTTCCTCATGCAGGGAGATTCTTCACCAGAACCTCCAACACCGCAGGGAATCTACCTCATTGCACGAACATTGCAGGTCAGAATCTTGCTTTTGGAGCGAGGAACCTTCGATCGACCTGTCTTCATGATCAAGAGAAGGATGGTTCTGAAAATTCTTGAAGCATGTGTGTGAGTGAAGACCAGTTGCTGTGGTTTGGTGCTTCGAATGCGGGCCATACTGTGGGCATTTGAGGAACAGATATGTGGGCGTTTAATATGTAATATAATAACTTCGAGGAACAGATACATGGAACCTTCCAAGCAGGTGCCTATTATTTTTAGCGCCGAAAAGAGGTGATTTGGATTGATTTGGGGTGTCCATGAACATCCAGTAACCACCCTGGCTGGAGGGACTGGTAAAGCCCATAGCCCGAGCCTCCATCACCTGCCAGGCCGAAGCGCAGCTAGGCTCCACAGCCACCGAGGCGCAGCTGGCGGACGAATCCGTCCGGGGGCCCATGCAGCAAGGCGAGGTTTGGAGGTTCCGACAGTTCTCGGCAGGAGTGGAGTATATAGCTAGATTTTGGAGTAGACATCGAAAGTATCGTGGCCTTTGCTGGGCTGGCTAGCCAGTGCCTGATGAATCAAATGACAAACACGACAATAAAACAAACCAATGACACAACCAAACATAACCACAGCACACACACACACCCCTACCGCCAGTGTCCGACCCTGGGGCCACTCCAAACATTGACCTGCCCGATGACAAACACAAAACCAGACAACGAACAACGACAAACAAAATGATGATAATGACAACACCAAACATGTCGTAATGCATGGTGGCAAGCACAAAAAAAGTCAAGACATAATGACTATGTAGCGAAAGCACCAAGCATAACAACTGACACCATGCACATAGCGACAAGCACCTCACCACAGACAACACATTGACAGACATTTGACAACAAAGCGACAAACACGACAAGGGACAACAAACTATGACGCACGTGATAACAACACCTATAATACCTGACTGCGCACCAGGACAAACTCAACAGCAGACAACACACAATGAAAGACTGAATAACCAACCCACCAGGACAAACACCACAGCAGAGAATGGGCAATGTCAAGCATGCACGGGATATCATTCTCCAACACCAAACGAACGAGCACAACACTCTCGGTGTGACCCCTCGGGATGCTACCTGCCCCTCGCCAGTCCGCTCGGAGTAAATGATCAAATGTTTCTTCAACTTCAAGAATGCTCCGTTCGTAGCGATGCCAGGAGCCCCGTTGGTAGCGTCCGGAGTCTCCTAGTAGTAAGGCCAGGAGCCCCGTTCGTAGCTTCTAGTTACTAGTTAGTATGATTCATACTGTAGATTTGGGTTTATTGCAGCTAAAAACAGTGGGAACGCCTGACAAAGACCCAGAGCTGGAGGTGAGTGAAATTGCAAATCTTGCAACCAATCTGCATGTTTCAAGCCCTGCGGCAATTGGTGGTGCACATTCCAAGGTGAAGCTGAACGTCTTCAAGAGCATGGACTATTTGCTGGACAACAGCAGGGTGATCGGATCCAAAGTGAGGGGGGCCCAGAGCAGCGTGGGGCGTGGCAGAGTCTGGCCTTGCGCCGATGGGGCGTGGATGCACTAAGGATTCTGTTCAACGCCTGAAGGCGTTCTGCAGAATATGTTTTACTATTGCTATTGTTTTGTTTCCTTTCATGTGCATCATATTCACACATACAATGTATGCATAATGCATCTATATAGTATGTGCCTAGGAGCCTGGTTCACTGTAAGCTCCTGGGAAGGTGTTTGGCGGCACCACGCTGGCATCAGACACATCAGGAAATCGCAATGATTTTGGGGACTTGAGGAGCTCAAGGAAAACAATGCTACCAGGTATCAAAGAACGTCAAAACAGTGTTTCCTTGCTTTCGATCTGATGGGAACAGCGCACCAGTATATAGTAGACAATGAGAAACAATGCAACTCACTGAGTGGTACTTGTAGGTCTTCGTGTCGTGACTGGGAGTATCAGGGGTAATCAGTCCATCCGCATAGGCATCCTCATTTCCTGCCGCCCATTTGCATTTGACATCCATCGTCCAACGACGAAACACGCACACAATTCTGACGCAACTTGTGGTTGCTCAAAAAACACAACGCGAACGCTCCGCCCAAAGCAAATGCAGACATCCAGAACAACACCAACTCCAAAATGGAGTGTAAGCGCTGACATCCAAGAAACATTAGGTTGTTGTAGTTCGTTCAGTTTCGGATAGTTTTTCTTGATGCTACACCACCAATTTCCGAGGATATTAAACTGTATGTTTCCTTGATGCTTCTGGGATGGTCTGTGAATGCACCCTAGCTGAGCTGTGCCGGGCTGGTTTCCCCCCAAGGTCTTGAGCGGCGAGGTGGATTTGGAGGGTGGCATCTATGACCTGGACACTGGACGTGTCACCTGGTTGGGCAAAAGCCCCTACGTCCAGAGGCGGTCGGCGGCGATCGAATGTATTCTCAGGGTTTTGGCTTGTTTGAGCAGCAGAGTTGCCAAGTGGGAATGATGGTCGCCCGGCAAGAATCTTGCTTCTCGCATGCTGCATGTCGAAGCGATGCCGCACACAGACACACGACATGGATTCCGTGAAGCTCACCTTCACACAACATAGTAGGCATGCTGTGAGCGAGACTCTCAGCAACAATAATGCAATTATATAGTGTATTAATTGCTTAATATATAATTAGTTATATAATTATATATACATATATATATACTGTGTATATATATATATATATCAATGACAAGCATTGCACAAACACGAGGAGAGATACCGGCATTTGCTGCACCTAATAGTTGGAGCACCCTGTTTTTTTTGTCAACCATTTTGAGAGTGGTCCCGACAAAGAGGAAGCTGAACAGTTTCTTTGCCAAGACAACTTTCACGCAGAAGACCCCCAAATGTACTAGTTCATCACCACTCCAGGGTTTCTGGGGTCAAAACCCACACCTTCAGTAGGTGCCTTGGACTGGTGTAGTACGGTGTAGCAGGGATTTCAACATATTTCAACTACTATCCTTGTTCTTTGGTGAATGGCCTTCTTCTTTGCTGGCTGGGGATTTCCACCCTCCTCGCAGGCGGCTGAGAGGTTGAGGCCGGCGAGGCTGGTGGGTTCACTGTGGTCGGGGCATCTCCAGATGTATCGAGAATAGGACGAAACCCGAGTAGTGTCCTCGCTCCTAGTAGTAAGGCCAGGAGCCCCTAGTAGCGTCCTTGCTCCTAGCTGGGATGTTTGGGAGGAGAAATTCGCAAGGACCGTGGTTGGAAGGTTTGGCCATGCTGATGCACAGCCGTAGGAATCGGTAAAATAACTACAGTAATTGAAGATGCTACTGTAGTTGGCCCTTCCTTGTGATTTCTCCACCGTCTCCAAAACCACCCCAAGTCATTGTCAGATTGGGTTCATCGCTGATGCGAGCTGTTGAAGAGTCTCAGTCCCGGTTTTGCGTGGCTTTGCAATTGGTTCCGGTCAAATCTCAGCGAGTAAGGTCCTGTGGTGATCAGTCAAGGTCCTGTGGGCCGGAGTAGTTTTGCTCGTAAGAGAAGTGCCTGTGGGCCAGTTACTGAGCGGTTGGTTTCCAGAACTCAATGCAGACCTACTGTTGAAGCAAGATATCCTGCGCTACAGCCACGACGCACTCCAATGCCTTTTCAAGAATGACCGGAACATGATAGGGGCATGAATCAGTATCAACGGACACTCGAACCCTCCTTGAGGATCGCACTCACCTGGGGTCACTGTGAGGCCTCGGCATCCTGACGTGTCGGTGCTGCGACTGAGACCTCTCTGTGGAGCATTGTATGTGATGGTATGTGGGTATGAGTCCAGGCATATCGGCTCACAGGGCGTTATGGAGCCCACTGAAAGATGTCTGCAAAAGGCCAAATCTTTCAAAAAAACCAACAGTTCGCCAAGTCTTCTTCCTATTTGGGCCTTGAACCAGATGAGGAATTCACAATCTGTTTTTGAAGTCACTTGGGAACTCACAAAAAAAAAACTGATTCGCCAGCAAAACACACATGGTCAAGGAACCAAAGGATTTGTAATGCAAGAACAAGTACATTTTGAACACGAAACTCTCGGTTGTTTGTCCTCTAAAAGTGGAGAAGCCGTCCATTTTTTTTGGCCAGGGGCTTCGGCAAGTGGTGCGTTGGTGCAAGCGGGGGGGGGCATCGATGTTCGCTGTGCTACGAAGTATACCCTGATTGGTCGATTTCAAGAATATGTAGGTTTGATGATTCTTGGGAAGGCATACATGCCCCGAGTAGAGTGTTGACCTTGACCCACTTGGAAGATGAGATTTCTTCTGGTTCGCCCCAGAAGCTTTGAAGTTTGAAGATTCGAGTAGATGACGCTCCCATTGCAAGAAGTTTCGGTCAGCACCATGTTATCTCTTTGGTCTTTTGTCCTGGAGCAGTTTTCAGTGCATTTTTTCGGTGAAACCTGGTCCCCTTGATGGCCATGGAAGTGAAACAGCCTTCCACTGAAGATAGAAGACCTGGGCTGAGTTGTAACGACATACATCATTTGTTTTCTCTTTGGATGGTCAACTGGACCGATCTACCGGGTAACCAGGCTGGTGAAACCATGACACTCCTGAAAACATGGAAGGAACAACTTGGAGGGCAGATCGTTGACACCAAACTTGATTTGGGTTGTGGAACGGCACTTCTGGCGCTTTCTCTCAGTCACATCTGCGTCTAAACATCAGTCTATATACTTATAGATGTGTATTTGGATCGACAAGAAAAGGGCCTTGGCACGAACTCGGACTGCTCTGGGTATGTTTCTCGTCCTCTCGCGGCGACCCGACCGGCGTGAGAATCGCCATGTTTTGTGGCAGCCGGTCCATTTCTCGTCCTGGATTTTCTCAAAACATGCAGCCGCATTTTGAAGTAGATCCCACCAATCTCACCGGTGGGTGTCTAATGGGCTGCATGAGACATTTTTAGAAGCCCAGGCTCCACAAGTGTTGCCAAGAAGTGATTCGTGCAAATGCTCTCAGAGAAAAAGTTGTCATTGGTTCCTTAGACCAGGTTCTGAATTTCCTCAGCACAAACATAGACATAGACATGAGGATGCTCCAGGAGTTTGCCTGGAACAGGAACTTCCGAAGCTTTTGCCGACAAATACCATCTAGGGCTTTTGTGTAAAGACCCTGTCTTCCTGCTCCTTTTCTATCAAACAATTTGGAGCTTAAGCAGTGCGAAGCTCAACATCTGATTATGCACCATGTGCTCTCATGGTCATGGATCCCCGCAGCATTGGCTCCGGATTCGTGTACTCAGCAGGCCCCTCTGGTCTTGCGCGGACAAGGACACAGGGCTGCTTCACAGCACAGCCGACCAACATGTTCAGCTGATCTAGTTAGGGACATTTAGGGACAGATCATGCAATCAATGCAGTGAGGACGTTGCCAAGTCATGCTTTAGACTTTAGACTTGCTTGCACCAGCTTGAGATTCGTTTCCTCAACATAACGACCTTTTAGACCCTGGGACATCGAAGGCCTTGACCTTGGCCACCGGTGAGGGTGACGTTCGTGAAGCGAAAGAAGAGGCTTCGGGGCGCCCTCTTTCCCTTCGTGCAGCGGTGCACCAGGAGCGATCGTCGAGCGAAACGATGTCGGGCTACAGCAACTATGGTATCTATGGGAGGACTTCTATGGGAAGACAGGCGAGAGAGAGAGAGAGAGAGGGCGCGAGAGAGAGAGGGCGACGCGAAAGCCGGAGGTTCCTTTTTTGGCGACGAAGGATGAGGGAGGGATTGCAAGTGAACATACAAGAAGCAATTGTTTTTATACATTACTAGTAGTTTTTTTTTAAAACCCAAATAGGTCGACTTAGGCCTGGAAGGGTCGAGATTTGGATTCAATATGATTCAATATTATATAACATATATAACCTATCAGCAAATGTTCGGTGAATTCAGCCACATATTTGGGGTTTCGCGCTTGTGACTGTGGGCGTGGAGGTCGCCCTTAGGTGGGGTTCCTCGCAGCGCTTCATGGGATTTCACAATTGAAGAATCGACATATTGGGAGAAGGGATGGAGAGGATTCGACAAGTCTCCGTGCTGAAGCCGGTCTTACTCCATGGCCAGTGGAGACCAGTGGATTAATCACGAGGATTGGGAACTCCGTGCTGATTTACACACTTAGATAGATCCATGCTCGCAAGAGCTCTATCAGTTGTGAACATCCGGATGCATTAGCCCTTTACGTGAGTTCCTAGCCCTTGACTGGCAAAAACGGTAAGGCGAAAGGGTCCGAAGAACAGAACTGTTTAACAGAGTCACTAGCACTTTACAGGACAATTGGAGTAATTAACAGGTTGGTCAACAGTTCAAAAAAGTGCAGGTACAGGAATGTGCGTCCACATTCCCCTCCGGCTGAATCCCATAGCTTCGTTGGCATGGCTGCGGCTAGGGAAACAGCTGCCCTGCTGAACTGTACAAATGTGACAGAGATTGTTGGAAACAAGAATTGACACACACACACACACAGACAGTGGCCTTGGCAGTATGATGCGGGTCATGATGCTTTTTCAGTATTTGAAGAGGCCACGGCCAAGTATTTGTTCTAAAGCAGTCAACCTGTCAAACCAAGAGGAAGATGTTGGCGAATCCTTTTTCGTGCCGGTGGTGCACCCCATTCAGAGCCCTTCCTGGTGGATTTCTGAAGCAGACACTCTGAAGTCAACAGAACCCATCAGAGCCCCACATACTTTGAGGCATATTTTTTGGTTACAACTCTACCAACCCACCCCGATTACATTCTGATGTGCTTCTTCTGATCATCAGTTGGTCTTGCCCATTCTCCACTCATCTCCACTCTTCCGCCCAATTGAAACAAATGGTCCATATTCCTGGTCCTTTGCTGCAGCCCCTTGACAACAACCTCATTCTCAAGGCAAAAACTGAGAATATGATGCTGGACAATTCTGGATGCATAGCCACGGGCCAGGTTGAACTGAGAATCCCATGCCTCAAAAAGGCAACAATCCCAGGAAAGCCGTCAATTTACAAGTCATACCATGCCATAACAAATTGGGGTGCAACGATGTGATCTCTATGTAGCAATTTGCAGCTATCTTCTCACCACAAACAGAAATCTAGGGTAAGCTTACTCCTCTTGGGACGGTTGTTGAAGAGATCACACCTCCTCTCAAGCGTAGAATCACCCTTGCGAGATCTCTTCGTGCAGGTGACACCAGTGTTGACATCGATGGGGACGCCAGTCGCCCCTTCCCCGCGATATCCGGTGGTGCCTTCCTACGTGGCAGGCAGAACTTACGACAATTGAGAATTGTAGTTTAGATCAAAGAGGAGTAGGCTTTGGAAGGAAGAGATGCTGCTCGTAGGCTGGAAATTTGAATTTGATCAGGATGAAAGGCATCCTGGATACTTTCAGAGTAAGTGATGTCTGCAGACCTGTTTCGACCACTTACGAAAGAAAGATGTTCGATGTCTTCAGCAAGTTTGACGAGACCTTTGGACATGACATGTGTTCGACTCTTTCGCTCCGCGTTTTGGGAACATCTCAGGTCCCAAAGGTTCCTTTTTTCGGGAAATGCGTCATAGAAGCTTCATTTTTCAGAGGTCGTGCTTAGCTTGTTTATTCTGGGCCTCACTACAGTCTGTGCCTGTGGCAGTGGGCAGCGCTGCCAGCTGTCTTGGTCCGGGCTACCTCTGATGTTGATGCTGTTTTTTCCTTGCATACATCAGCCCTACTCTCAAATACTATCAAATACCAGGTGAGAAGTGCAACAAATTTCTGGAGCTAAGTTGAGTGGGTTTTCACTGCAGTAGTGATAGATGCGCCAAAGGGTGGAAGCGTTGCGAAACGGAAACCTGCATTTTACAAGAAGGAAAGGATTTTCATTCAGAGTTTCGGGCGAAGCTTGCGAGGGTCTTGATATCGTTGGTGGACAAGTGCACAAGTTGTAATAAATGAATATAAGATCATCAAAGCCTGGCCTCCTTTATGGAACACCGAAGGTGGTGCCACAATGCATGACAGGACAATTTGGAACAATCCCTCAAAACTGCAGCACTGCACCAGAAAGCTACTCCTCCAGGATTGGCAAACTCAA